CCTTCTGTGGTGCCACATTCATTGCGCGCCCCTTTTTTGAAAACGGGCACTATCACCGATTCTCCCCAGTTGTCTGGGACAGACTCCTTTTCCCAAATGCAAGCAAACAAATCGGACAAGCACTGACTGAGGACTTCACCCCCATCTTTGAACAGGGCGGGTAGGAGGTCATCCGGACCAGGAGCTCGGTGGCAATTGGGAGAACATATGCAGTCGTAAACCTCCGAGGCCGTAGGCGGTCCCACTTTCACCGTCCAGGGTTCTATTTCACCGGCTCTAGGTGGGTGCCGGCTAGTGGTCACGACAGTTGTTGTTCGAAGTATTCAGCTCATCGGTCGAGGCGTTCTTCCCTATTCGAGATGGTCGTTCCATTCTGATGCTTCATGGTTTCACTCACAGGTGGTTTCCGGAGACCGGTCGCACGGATCAACTGAAATAATCTCCGGGCATTACCGGCTTTCTGTGTCCACCATACTTCACGGCCGGCTCGCACGGTCACTTTCACTTGACGTCTGATAACTCCTCGCAACGGTTTATGCTCGGGACCGGCTGGGGTATTTTTCCGGGCCGGCGCCGCCGTTCGGTCGGATATCCAGTGCTTGGGCGCGCCTGGTTGGGTCACGCCACAGGCAAAATTCCCAGCACTATGCAAAGAGGTGACAATCTCGTCCCACTATGAGTCCACATCTGATGGTGGAGCATTCGGAAGAGACTCTAGAAGATGACCCTGGGAGATTCGTCTAACATCCGGATCTACCAGTCTCTCAGTTGCCAAGCGATTTATCCGCACCTTCGCGGCCCAGGGAAATGCAGAGAGAAGCGATTCCGGACGAGCGCGTGGTCAGAGTCCAGAAATGTGTTCCAAAACGACCGACAGTCGGTCATCGATCCGCGCCATCGGTGACTGATGGCAATGTGGTCGATTTGAGTTTGTGGCCGGTATGCCCTTGGAGGACATCATGTGGCCAGACGACTTCGGCTATTTCGGAAGTTCGTATTGCGTAAAAACAGCCTGCGATCAGCACACAGGTGAAGCAACCGTTCCCCATCGTACGTACGTACTAAGTCCAATTCATGTCGACCTCCTAATTGAGTCTCAGATTCGCTAAGCCACTTGTGAATTCATATCTCCGGCAACCAACACGATGTCTGAGCTTTTAGCTCGCCACAGCAGGTCATTTAGGGCGTCGTAAAACCTGTCTTTGACAGCATCGGAGCTACAGGCAGTTGGGGCGTACGCGGACAAGATGAACAGACACCTATCAACTTGCCGCTTGTGAGACTCCTTCACAGATATCGCCAGATTAATCGCACAGAGGCGACTATCAACAGGTATCCAGTCAAGTAAGGATACCTCCGCCCGGTGACTTGGCACGACACCAACCCCTGCACATCCCACCGCAGCAACCTTTGGATCACCAGAGGTGCGCAGCCGGAAGCGAGTGGAGACTGATGGAGCAGTTAACTCAGTCACTGTGCTTGCATCTTGAATTCCCGTTTCCGAGACACAGCACACATCAATGCCAAGCGAGTCCAGTGAGTGCAAGAGCAGCTTGTTGTCCTGTTTGCTTCAGAGTGCGAACATTGAACGCGGCCAGAGTGCGTGACGAACGGAATCATCAGTCCTAAGTGCTAGGCTTACAGGGAGAGAGTTACCAACGCCGTGAGGAGAGGGGGGAGAAAAAGTACGTGAAAGAGAAAGAAGGGAAGCGTCAGCAGTAGTCTGTTTTCGCTTACCTGCCGTTGTATGCAGCAAGTAAGGCGACCCGGCTGATGGCACCACGCGACGGCCGATGTGGCATGAGAGCAATGTTAGTTGTGAATGTCATGGCTGTACGGGGGCTGGGATACTGCTAGGGCGCCCACACCTAGACAGGAGGACGATTAGGGTCCTCAACCAAAGCCTTTGGCTCATAAGCCTAGCCACAAGGCAGCGGTGTTTGGCGGGAAATGCAAACGCATTACCATTTCTACGGAACAAGTCTCCACATGCTCCAACCCCCAACCTAGAAGGCCAGGAGACTGTTCGTCAGACCTCTAACTACTGACCAACCTGGTATGAGAGACTGTGTCACGGGGACACTCCCCAGTATACCTCAATCGATCGTTGAGGTGCGCAAACCGTCACACGACGGAAAGCTCCAGGTCCAGTCTGTGGACAGGCATACAACAAAAACGCTCGTACTGTAGCCTGATACGTAAGTCTCTTGAGATTCCGTGACGTACCACTTTGACGCCATAGGAGTGTCAAATTTGCAAACGCGACCAAAGCCTTGCAGATTCGTGCATTAACCTCATCTGTCACACTAAGACCTGAACTATTGAAAGAAGCACGGAAGCACGAGGGCTGAGATGCTGCCACTTTGCCCAAACCTAGACAGGTAAAGTCGAGAGGCTGGAGTCGGGTTCGAACCTCTGACCTTCCGGTCTAATACCAACTAATACAACTTCCAAGACACGTAAAACGCTCCACAACGTTGAGTGACTGAGGGTCTCACCCCCATCATTCAGACCAGAATATAGGTAGCGCTACTTCGTTGTATCTGGTCGCTGTCCCCGTCTGTTTTATTCATTTGAATTACACGGCACACATTGACTGCAAACATCCAGAAAGCCTCTTTGGAATACGTAGGGCCTCTCGAGTTAGAAACCTTTCATACGCCAGGTTGGATTTCTTTTCCATTTTGGAGATTCGTCATTTTTTCGTACTTGATGGAAGTTAGGTGTCTCAGGACATGATGAAACGTATCGCTAAAACATGATCTACAGGTTACCTTCTATTTTCGTGGTACGTGTTTCTCAGTACATATTGCACTCCCACTGTTCTATGCCTGTTGACCGTTTCGACTGAACCACGCCAACTGACATTGCGCTAGTGTCCATCCGACCAAACTTGCACACTTCTGAGGCGAAGAGGAATCCGAGACATCCTGAGAGTTACGTCAGGAACTAAGTGGTCACTTGCGTCACATCTCGCTAAGTACCTCAAGCAGGTTGTTATCGCACAAAATGGACACAGGAAATGTCGAAGATCAACCGAATACCGGCACACACCTTGCACAGCTGGTCCTACTGCTGAGGATTGCCGATTAACCCCTTGAAATGTTTCGTTTGTTAACTGGCCATATACAAAACCTCGAGGTTTAGATCTAAACCTATCGCACTGTCGTACAGCTGTTCTTTGAGGCCAGAAATACGGAACCTGACACGATCGATCCAGAGCCCTTCTTCTGTACCCTCCTACCGTCGGTCTTCGCTTGTGTCCGCAGAGAATCTGATCGGAATAGTGTAATATGCACGCTATGGAAGCACCAGGGGACAGTGATTCTCCGAAGGCAGGTGTTCGCGACAATTTTTGTGGATGGAAAACAGAAGCAAAGCTCATGAGCCAAACAAGGTTGTACATCACCAATACTTACATATAAATCAATCAAATTGACAGACAACGCATACTACGATAGCCGATCACCACGTGCACCGGACAACGTAATAGTGACCAGCTTAGAACGCAAATACTATGCGCTGATTGGTTGGAACACGAGTCGATCGCGGACTGGCGGAATGGCGTTTGGTTTTGTCGCAAAATGATTCCTCTTCATCCGATGGCCACAAGTGAGTGTCACTGCTCTTTAAGGTCTTTGGGTTAGGCAGTAAGATTTATAGTGCGAATACTCATAAAAGCATCTACAAGTGATTTGAAATGAATCTTAGATGCATGGTGGAGAAAATAACAAGACGAAATTGAAAAATTGTATTATAATGGAGGTACATGCTCCAAGCTTGGAACGTTTGTCATTAAATGTCTGCTGTACAATAATGGGGGAAACAAGAAAATCTATGAGCGCTTTGTAAGTAAGTACTGAATCTCTTCGTATGCGAAGATAGTCTACGGATTCAAGGACTCAGATTGATACACAGGATTAAGGCTTTTGCCATAATTTTCCGGTTCGAGTTTGTTGTTTTCACTCAGTGGCCTCCGTCCGGCTGAAAGGCCCGCGCGAAAAAAGGTTCGTCACCCCCATTTAGGTTCTTAGTACAGAGCAGTAAGCTTGCCAGCACGAAGACTCACATGAAAAAGCGTCTAAAGGTGCTCTGACTTCGCTACAAGACGAGGCGTGCGGGACCGTTGGAGGAAGGTTATTCCATGCGCCAACTACCAGAAACGGGAAAACCGTTCCCAGTTACGTTTTGCCAATATTAGACACAATTAGTTCACTGGGGTATAGTACATGAGAGCAGGGTGTTCCCTGTAGGCTTCAGATACTGCTCAGATACTTCGGATACTGCCCCGCTTCATTCCTTTGAGGAGAAGATATTTGGCTTATTTCTTTGACGATATATAACATGCTAGAATCTAAGGGAAATAGATCAAGGACCTCACGACGTCTTGCAATGTCAGCGGAGTTGGGCCGGTAACTATCCAGCGCCTAGAAGTCCGTGCGAACAATGCGCGAAAATGTAACAAGTCTTCTGCGCTGCAGCGAGAAACCATTGGTGTTTTTTGCTCTATGCCGTTTTTGCCTTTCTGTTGTAACAGACAAGGCATGCGTGAGATTGACTCATCTGGGTTCCCGATGAGCCCACCGCCAAAACCGCATGGATATGCAAATGAGTGTATTTTGCTAAGAGGAAAATGATTATTGTGGTGTTTTTTCATGAGGCTAAAGACGGCATGTATAAGATTGTTATTGAGGCCTACTGCTCTTTTGCCCATAATCCACCACAGACATACAACCGAAAAAGATATGTGATTCACTGTGCAGCCTGCCAACACTTTCAGTTTCACTGAAAACCTTTTTGCTGGTGCCATGGGTAAATTCAGTATGCTATCACTTCCTGGCACCATATAGGGGCAACAAACCGCCAAATATCGTTTGGTTGGTGAACTTGCTTTGGTGCCCCTAACTAAGCTTTTTCGGGGTAGCCCATCGGCAATTCGGCGATTTGGCTTTGTTTTAACTCAGCCATCCTATCTATACCACCTTAACCAGGCGAACGGAAAGGCGGAGCATTATGAACCACCTATTCCAGTTGCGCCGCTATGCTCACATGTCCGAGCCCGTAAACGAAATCACATGATCTTCACACGCTCACAAACAAGCGGGAGAGCATTTATGTGCACATTCACGCAAGAGTGAAACTTGCATGTTGGGTTGAAGACGATCTGGTTGTTCTGCTGTACCTCGATCCTTTGAGTCAAAACGCTGACGTAGAAGGCTATGGGATGATGTAGGTTTTGTGATACCCAACTTCCCGCAAGGGAAGTTTTTGCGGGTTGCGTATAATCAGCCCGTGACTCATTAGCTTAATCTACTTAAGTGCACGAAAATGAGGTACTTCAGGGTCGCGGAGAAAAAGGCATTACATTTCAACTTTCATTGTGGCCATGCACATTAGGCTATTCTGGGTAGCTCCAGACCCCTTGTTCTTAAGTGCCCCGACCCGATCATGCTTCTGCTAGCATGTTGGGGAGTTGGCCTGTTATTGTTATTATCATTATTATTATTACCATTATTAGTCGGTATTTACAGCCGGCTGCCTGGATATCGGATTGTTTAATTTTGTTGCTCACATTTGCTAGCCCGCCCTCCGTCTGGAGCATGAAGAAGCTCAACCCACAGGAACGTGGAGATTGTAGAAATAACGCGTATTTGTACTAAAGAGCTCGCACGGTAAATGATACGGACTGTTTTACGTCATTAATCCATTAAGTTCGTCGTGATACAGTCGAGACTGGGCTCCGTAACGTTGCTCCCCGCTAGTTTTCATGCCATACATGGAAAACAAAACCCATAACTCCAGCCAGCATAGCTCAGACAGACTATCAAACGAACTCACAGTCTAGGTATTCGACTGCGGATGGCGTGGCAAGGAAACAACGTGCGTAATGCTAGGCCTATAAGCGCGATCATAAAACCGGTCAGGTATGAATCGCATGGCTTTATAGGGTGAAATCCTCAACCCACATGCTGCCACATTTTTCATTGTTGCTAGACACGGATATTCTTGACTAAGGCACGTTTGATGGTAAGGTGGCAGCTCGAATACGACCACATGACTGTGTTTAAGAGGGCAATTTTCCTATAATTATATATTTCCGGCATTTGTTGCGATCCACCAGGAGCAAACATTATCAGCCTTAATACGATGTGTGAGTTTCTTCAACACACATCGATCAGTTCTCCATTTTTGTCCCGACAAACGCCCCTCCTTTTCCGAACCGACGTTAACCTGGAATGTCAAACGTCTTCTCAGGAATACAAGAGAATTTAAGAGCTATGGCTGCTCCAACTCTATGGCTTGATGAGTTGATTATAAGAATATGAACGGTTGTAGTGTGCAAGTGGTCGTTCGGGCTGCAGCAAACGTTTCATTCCGTGGAATGTAAGCCAGAACTTGAGTGACCAATCCTACCGCCACATTTTGGTCAGAAACTGGTTCCAGAGATTACCTGGGCGGTGCATGCTAGGTGGAAAAGCTATTCAGCGGCTGATCAAACACCGCCGTTTTAAGTAATGCGGCGTCGAAGGTGGAAGATCAGACAAGGAAGGAGCTGTTTTTCAGTCATACACGAAGCCGTAATACAATCGAATAAGTCCGACACTCCATCAGTATAACAGCGCATTTTGTCCAGAGCATGATGAAGGATCCGTGTTGTAGGTTTTAATCCATGCAACAATCGCGCGCATCACAATGGGTAATGCTGTGAATTTCTCGGCGCGTGTTTTCGCCAATCTTCAACTTCAATTGGCACGTTCCCACAAGTTGGAAAATGAACGTATTATTATTATTTATACGTTGGTAGCAGGACCGATTTCATGGGTTGTATGACGAAATTCATGGTAACATAAACGTTTCTAAACAATCAGGGGAGTAGTAATAAATTTCTAAAACTTCCGCCTTGCCCACTGCGTGGTGGTCGCACATCCGCACGGATCGGCACACAGCTGTCCGAAAGCCACGGTTAGTGCAACCTGTTAACAATTTACCGATTGTATTGATCAGGCACGTTCCAAAGATCAAACTGTAGCATCAGAGAAGGGGAAAGTCACATGCGGTACCGGCATTTTGGTCTGTGACTCAACTTGACATCAGTGCATAAATGACCACCCTCGGTTTCCCACAGAAAAAAACTACTGCGGTACTGCACCTCAATTCCAATGTAGTCTTAGAGTCCCGGCGTCGAATGGGTCAATAAGCCGTATTGTTCAATTTTTATCTCACGTGGGTTCGCACACACCGTCCTTTGGCAAGGTGTACAATTGAAAACGATTAGTACGTCCCACACCCGGGAGTTGCAGCTCTGAAGCTGCAAGAAAACAGGGTTAATAATAACAATAATAATGTTTATTCCCAACTTGTGGGTGGCCTACTGTCTGGCGTGATCATAGTTCTACAGTCAGAGCATGACTGGAGGATTTGTGGGAGTGCGGATTGCACAAAAAGAGGACAAAGTCATTAACAGTGGGGAGTATCCGATGATATAGTAATAATAGATTATTTCCCAACTTGTTAGGAACAATGGGCATGAGGTCCGACTAACTCAATGACTCAGTCGGCTGACATGAACTAAAACTGAAAACCATTGCTGGGCATGAGTGACCTTGGGCGGTTAGGTAAATGACCGGAGTCACAACGAGAAAAAGTGGAGATGGAAATGGGACAATTCAAATTGGGAGCACATGGCAAGTTTTGTCTCAAAAATGTGGTTTAATCTGAAAGTAAGCAGATTCACTGTTAGCACTGTTGTAAGGAAGTCAGGTGCAGGAAGTAGGTTGGATGGGTCAAGTTGCTAATAAGTAGGGTGACCCGAACACCGTATACGGATTTGAATTTGTGGAGAGGGTAAGTCGAGATTGCAGCATAAAACCAAGCTAGCCACATCTGAGTGAAAATTCATTGGGTACGGAAGAGCTCATCCCAGAGACGGAGTCGGATGAAAAATTTGCTCGAAGTTGTGACTACGGGCTTGAGTGGGCGAGGGGTTGCGGTCGAGATTCTGGAGAAAATAGTCGTGGGAGTTGCATCTCACTGGGTATGACAGTGCCATGCCGTCATCGCACTGACATGCTTCGGTTTATGGACTGCCCCGTAACGGCCGCCAAGGGTGCCGCGATCGGAGAAGGGATTCGCAGTTTCCTGGCTAGTTCTGGGTGATACGGAGATTGACACAGAGTCATGTAGATGTAGGCTCACGGATAATTTCCCTTTCGTTGGAGGACCGTGTGAGTGTAGACCGTGGACAAGTCAGTTTGAATGAATAACAGTTCTACGGGGCGTTTGGGCAACTGCAGTCGAGGTCTGAAGCTTGGGAAGAGGGGCAACGATAAAGAGATAGAATGAAAGCAGTATTGTGTGGTGGGTGTCAGGAGGCACAAGATAAAGCGGCATCAGTAGAAAAAATCTGAAAAGGGATGAAAAGAAGTTAAGTGGACCCAGAAAAGTTGGATAGGTTTGCTGATCTAGAAACCAAGTACTAGTTGGACCAGAGTAGGTGCCTAGTTTTAAGAAGGTGAGAACTTTGTCGTCGAGGTAGCTAGCGGGGAGGCTAGCTGTTCGAATAGTTGAAAACGGGCTGCTTACCGAAGTATCATGACATGGGGTCCTTGTTGTACAGAAAGAAGGGTTAATGTGAGCAGTGACAATGGACAAGTAAAAAGCGGACAAGCATTAGGCTACATTACCCAGCTTACAATCAACGTCACGGAGGAAGCTTTTTGGTGAATTTCCACCAGATTTGATTTTTTACGTGCATTTTACAGCACAAGTTTTCCGCTAGTTGTGGCAAAATCTGACATACTAGCGTACGCCACGTTGAGCCTTTAGCGAATTGTACATTTGTTCGCTCCGATCGTCAAATACTTTCCTCGGTTTTTGGACCGTCTGACTGGTTTTCACCACTTTGCGGCCCCTAGAGTACACTGGGCGCTGAACTATGTATTGTATCCGGTGCGGGGCTTTCTTGCTTGCATGCAATACTCGCGCGGACGCTCAGATAACTCACGAGGCCCACGTTACGCCACTTCTTGAATACGTGAAACAAGTTGTTTAAGCAGAAAACAAGCAAAACCTTCTCCTTTGAGCGTGTCATACGAGGTGCTACGTGGATCGCTGTTGACCTGAAATGCGTACATTAATACCAAGTCTCAGAGGAATTGGTTTCTCTCCTAGAAACTAGGTGCATCCTTTGGAGCCTTGCACTTATTTTGGCGTTCATTAAACAGGGTTTATGATCCAAAGACGGATCCGGAATTATTCTTTAAAGTCATAGTTTGAACGGATAAAACGTTTACACAACAGCGCATGACGGTATACATTCGTTAACTAATGTCTCCCCAAACAGTCACAGGTTTGCTAAAAATTCAAGCCCTACTTTAGGCGCAGGGTTAATAATTTTAGTGCAGGCCCTGACATAGCGGGATCATTCTACTGGGGCGACAGAAAGATTCCACGGAAGGATTCACCACATTTCTCCTTTATTGCATTTGGAAAGTGAATGCAAATATTTTTCGTTCGAAATCGGTTTCGTTTTTCCCTCGTGCAAATTCGTGGAAATTTTTTTCGTTTCGTTG